GGTCAAGATAGTAAGAACTCCTTCCTCTTGAAACTAAATTTTCCTGCAGATCTGAATCTTGCCTCCACCACTGTGGTCCATTTCTGTATGTGACATGTCTTTTTCATTAGTCCAGTTCTCAGTGCAGACCAACTAGGGCTTAATAAAAGCTATATATATAAATGGCCAAAGGCTACAAAAGCATATAAATATAGCTTTAAACCCATGAAAGTAATAAAATAATGAAAAATGGGAAGAGTTTGTGGTTAAAATAGATGTTTAGAGTTTTTTACGGTACTTTTTTATGGACCCTGCATATGTGCTGATTGCTTGCCAGAAAAAGTCACTCGATGCTGAGCATGGCCAAGTTTATGGAAACCATGACAGAGATGGAATATGATTTAAAAAGAAAAAAAAAAGTTTTGGTTTGAACTGAAAATGTAATTGATATCCTCAAACATTTCTGTAGCAGTGTTATTTTAGTATTATTTATATACTATTATTATAGTATTCATTAATGTTTTGAATGAGCTTTTATTATTTTTATTTCAGTATGCATTTTAATTTTAGTTTAAGTTTGAGTCATTCTTAATTTGTTATTTTTTAGCCATTTTTATTACTTTTTAATAGATTTTAAGAATACAATTATTTAATATAAGTTTTAGTAGTTTTAGTATTTTTCATCTAATATTTTATTTCAATTATCACAAACCATTTTTAATAGTTTTAGTTAACAACAATACTTCTCTAGTTTTGTCTCTAGTTTTACTGCACTTGCATTAAAGTCTTAAATCACACTGATCATGTCAACATTTTACGTTTTCACTGCCTAGTAAAGGAATACATATAAAACGAAGGCCTTGGTTTTTAATGCACCCAAGTGAAATCAGACGTCTAGTCAAGTTTGAGTGCGATCTGTTCAGCATTTAGTTTAATTTTTTGGGATATATATATTTTTTATCAGCTTGTGTCAGTACAAGGTCTTTGACATGTGATGTACCAATAACCGCAAAAATAATTCACTCGGGTGTTATTTAACCATTAGGAACAACTTTCATAGTGTCTATAGCACATGCAAAAGAAAACTGAACTCCCAGTTCTTTGCATTTTGCTGCTGTGGCTGCACACTTCAAGATATAGCTCGACCAAACATGAAAATTTGCTGAAAATGTACTCACCCTCATGTCATCCAAGATGTAGTTGAGTTGGTTTCTTCATGGTAACAGATTTTGAGAAATTTCTTACATCACTTTCTCACCATTGGATCCTTTGCAGTGAATGGGTGCCGTCAGAATGAGAGTCCAAACAGCTGATAAAAAAACGGGCAGTGGTTTGAAGTTAAAAACATCTTAATAATTCATCTGTTTCTTACAAACACACACCTTTTCTCTTCACAAGTCATTAACTGATGGACTGGAGTGGTGTGGATTACTGTGATGTTTTTATCAGCTGTTTGGACTCTCATTCTGACGGCACCCATTCACTGCAGAGGATCCATTGGTGAGAAAGTGATGGAATGCTACTTTTCTCCAAATCTGTTCTGATGAAGAAACAAACTCATCTTTTCAGCAATTATTTCAGCAAATTTAAATTTTTGAGTGAACTATTCCATATAGGTTATCCAGATATTGCTTTCTATAAATACTGCATACTCCACATCCTTCTAGTGTTTGACACTGCATTTTGCATACTAGGGAAATATGAATATTTGTACAGTGGGAACGAGACTGAGTTACAGGGTTCCCACAGCCATGGAAAACCTGAAAATAACATATTACAGTTTTGATTTCCATGCCTGGATATATCATAGAAATACAGTATTTTTTTTCTGCTCCTCTCTGAAGTATTTCATTGGCTAGACCTTGCTCTTTGTGAGTGCTTGTGTAGAGTAAAACTCGCCCTCAAGCCAGTGAGATACCATCAGTCTCGTCTGTCTGTTCAGGGTCTTATTGGAGATGTTTGGACACTAATATAATAAATTAAAATCTTTCTAAAAAGTCATGGAAATTCACTTGTTGGTGTTCCCCTGCTCTCTCTATTGACAGTGCTGTGTTTGTATTTTGCAACTGCATCCTCTCAACAGAGTCATTCCACCTTTAGATTCGGGTTGTTTGATTTAGTGCACTTGGGAGACATCCACTGTTATTATGTTATTTACTGTCCATACTAATCCACAGCGGGCATGTAGAATGCAGGGCTCAGAGCTGTTATTAAGTATGCTTAGTACTGACATTCCTCTCCAAATCCATGTACTTTTGGATGAGTCTCTGTCGAGTTTCCAGCTCTCTGTTTCTGTGTCTTAAAGAACTGTCTGCGAAGGCTGTCAGAGCCTTGTCTGCATTTTTATTGTGACTTGGATATTTCCTCTAAGCAGTCGCGGAATGCATTTCTCTCTGTTTACCATCCAGAAAGATAAGCAAATGTGACTATTAACCATGTAACACACAATCCACAATCATAAACATGTACGGATGCACGTCATCTAAATCACTGCACTGCAACAGGTGTGTAGTCGACAGTGTGCGGATTGGGAATGTGTCCATTTTATGCTTGTAAATCAGTGTAAAGCCCCACTATAACCCTCCTTCCTCCTCAACCAGTGCTTCATACTGTAGCTTCCAGGCAAAACTTAATTTTCATAGAGAGCTCTCATTGCAGAAAATGGCTAACAACATCAGTGGTGGTCACTCAGTCTAAGCAGATCTAATAAAAAGGGGACTGAGTAAATTTCACTGCCAGTAAGTGGAGTTTTTAACTTAAGATGATTTGACTTTAGACAAATTATGCTTGGTCTTAAATCAGACTCAGTCCCAGTTTTTTTTACTATATTATTTTAGTGTTTTTTTCATCCCGAGTATATAATGCATTCTCTCTTTCACTTTCTTTTGTAAAAACCTCAATCTTCTATTTCAAACTTACGTACTGTAACTCAATATCAGATTATCTTCAATAAAAACCAAGCTTTGGCTTGAGATGACTGTTATGACTCCAAAATGGTCTAGCGAACATAAAACCCAACAAATGCATGGATTAATCCACATTTCCCTCGTTAAAAAGAAGTGCACTTAACTGTATTTAATGTGCACCTGTACTCGCAGATAATATAATATTAATGCAATAAAAGGCAGCTTAAGTGGAGCACCTTGTAATGGCAAATTGAAAGTTTTACTTTAAAGCACATTTTAAGTCGCACATTTATAACCCTTTGTCATGCTTTGAAGAAGTTCAAATATTTTGATTACTTGACTAACAAAGTAAAGCACTATTAGTCGGCTATTAATTATAATTTTAACTACCCAGATAGCACTGTTAAAGATCTCTTCATCTGGAAAGCATCTGCTGTGTACAAACATCTGATAGATGTCTATTAGATGTCAGTTTTACATACATTCTAAATCATAAACATCTTAAAGACATCTTCTAAACGTCTATTTGACATCAGATAGGAAACGTCCTATAGACGTATTTCAGATGAGCAAACACTAAAAAATACTCAGTCACTAAACTGCAACTTCATCATCACAATATTACAAACATATTTAAATAGATGACGTATAAGTTTCAGTCGAAAGCAGCTGTACTGTATGTAGTTTTGTGTTCTGTCATAATTACAGTGGATAGCTGTACACGTACATTTGTTGCTGTCGTAAAGCAGCAGTCCGCTTTCAAGGTAAAAACATATATACAGTTGTTTTAACCACATTTCAAACATATAAGTAATTATGAAGATGTAAGTCATACTTAAGCGGTTCAAAAAAGCACTCAGTTAATTGCATTTAATATACATTTAAACTATACTACATGTTCATTTAAGATTCAAGATTTGTATATGTATATAACAAAAAATAAACAGAGATAAGATTTAATTGCAATTAACGTGCATTTAAGTATTCCAAAACATTGCATTGCATTCAGTATGCACTTAAGTATATATATGAAGAGTTCAGATGCAAAAGCCTCTAAGTGCCATCTGAAATTTTCATCTAAAATGAGCATTTTTATCAGGCTCCTATATTTATGTTCATTTATTTCACTTTAATGGCACAGAAAAGGACATGTACATTTCAGATGGCACTTAGAGGCTTTTGCATCTGAACTCTTCATATATCTATATATATACACGACTCTATATATAAAAACGACTCACCTGTATCCCTATTTATTCATCCTGTGATTTGATTTTTATTTGAACAATTGTGCATGTGTGTGTTAACTGACGCATCCTGGGTGAATTATATTGAGTCCTTAATTGGGACTCCTAAATAAGATCATGGTTAAATCTGTGCTTCATGAGGACATTTTTGTGAATACTTCTCCAGAAACATTGAATAAATTGGAACATGTGTGAAAACAGGTGATTAGAGTTTAAATGATCCAAGAATGTGTCTTTGTTTGGAGAGCTAAAGTAATGCTCTGGTCTTGTATGCTAATAGAATCACAATTTGAATGTGTTTGCAATGAAGAAAAACTGTAAGTCGCTTTGCATTATTGACCTGGAATAAAGAAACACAAAACCACTGCCACAAGAAACATTCCTTTGCGTGTCTGTCTGCGCTCCAGTAGTTTGTGCGTGAAAATATTTTCTGTGAACAAAACTGACCAAATGTTTCAGTGCAGGACTTCTGAATGCTTTTTCTGTTTTACCTTTTAAGTCTGATGTCTTGATATTCTCCTTTCCTCTACCGTTTGACGAGGTGAAGATCATTGGACCTCCAGAAGGTGTGCAGGTCATAGAAAAACACACACACACACACCATCTGGACACAAGTGTGACATACACCCTCATTACTACAAAATTACACACCACAAGACACACTCAAGTATGCAAAGAGAAGGCTGGGGACTGCATTACAGATTGGGCCTGTTTTACATTTGTTTTTCTCTTTTAGTGGGTTTTAGAGAGAGAGAGAGAGAAAGAGGTTTTTGCTCTAATTCTCTGATTTGGTTCTGGTTAGGTCAGAATAAGCCTCTCTGAGTGTTCGAAAGAAACACAGAGAGACTGTGTCTGTCCATCAGAAAGTGATTGTAATTCTAAGCATTTTACAGCTTCTCTCACAGAGAGATTTCTTGGAAGGAATTCTTGCTGCTTATGAAAGAACAAAAAAATGGGGTGAGTGGAAAGAGAAAAGAGAAAGTGAAAAAAGGGGAGAGAGGAGAGGAGGGAGATGTGTGCCAGTGTGTATATGACTCGCTGTCTGGGGGTGAGAGACACACACACACACACACACACACACACACACACACACACACACACACTTAAATACCAAAGAGAGAAATCCCCTTTCACATTCTCTCACACAAACACACATCTCCATTCAGAGACGGCACCACTGCAGTACTTCTTATTAGAACAGGACATGCACACACATTTACACACATATTAACTGTCTTTATCTGCTCATGGCTTGTGGGATGCAACTGCTGACCTGGAGCGGACACCAGTGGAGACTCATCCAGCATTTCCTCCGGATGAGCCTCCTGCTCTCCCTCCTGTGCCCACCCACAGAGCCTGTTCCCTGGGACAACGACTCCAGCAGTGGCCCTGGAGAGGTAAGAACCGCAGAGAATGACAAATGATGCTAGGCGGCAGAACTGGAATGCATGCAAATGACTCTAGGCAAACCATGCTTACCCAGAACAAGATTTCAGTAGTATGTTTGAGAGCAACCTAATTAGAATACATTAATATGTATACATAAATATGCAGTATACTTGTAAACATTTCTAAAAGTAAAAAATATTCAGTATCTATAGTATAAAGTTCCTATAAAGTTACTTTAAATTACGTATTATATATATATATATATATATATAAATACATATTAATATATACGTATACATATATTTAAAAATCGACATACATGACATGACTTGATCAAATATAGAAATGTCCAGGTACAGTACAACACTGTATTGCCATTTTCAAAAAGTTTATTTCCAGACAGTACATTCCAGACTGTGATGATTTTTAAAATGATTTTTCAAAAGGTTGAAAATGGTTGCTGTTACAGTAACAAACACTTTACAAAGTACAGAGTAGTCATTAAAAAAAAAGAAATACATTGTACAAGAGTTTGCACAAAAAAAATCAGTTGTGAAAAAAATACTGTCTCTTACAGTTAGTGTATTAACTGTTTACATTTCTAAATGAGTTTAAAAAAGTACAAATATTTTTAATATGTAGAAATCTACATAAATATCTAGTATACCTGTAAAAATGTTAGTGAATTTTTTTTTTATATTCAATATCTATAATATGAAGTTCCTATAAAGTTACTTCAGATTACTCCTTATGCAGTGCATAGAAAATCCCCAAAAAGCAAAAAAATAAATAAATAAAATATATAGTATTTATTATGCATGTTGGATTGGTCTTAAATATTCACTTTTTAATTCTTAACCTATTGAGTCATCATTGTGATAATGTAATGTGAGTAGATCACAGACTGTAGTAAACACTACAGGACACATTAATGGCTCTTGTAAAGATCAGCTGGGGGATAAAACATTGCAAAACTAACTGCTGTGGACGGATGTGTGCGGGGCTCTGAGGTCAGATTTTGTCTGCATTGTGGGGACCAAATGTCCCCACAGGAATAGCAAAACCCAAAATCACCTCCGTTGTGGGGATCAGCCAAAGGTCCCCACGAGGAAAATGGCTTAATAAACATACTAAATAACGTATTAATAACATTGTAAAAAAAAATGCTGAAAGGTTTATATGAGGGTTAGGGGATAGAAAACATCATGAACTCAAAATAAAAACAAAAAGAGTCACTGGAAAATCCCAACCTTGATAGAAAAACAAGCATGTATATTTGTACGTGTGTGTTTTGGTGTTAAGAAACAGAATTTTTCCAGTCTGTCTAGTATTGCATTCTTAAAACCAAACCTGTTTCTTATTGTAAGTCTGACAAACAGACAAGGTGTGTGTGTGTGTGTGTGTGTGTGTGTGTGTTTTCATAGTCCTAATCAATCCCAGTTCTTATGGATTTCTTTGAACTAGCAATAGAAACAGTTGTTTACAGATTGAAATTTGCATTTGATGGCTTGCGGTGTGAGTAAGTTTGAATCATGAAACAATCTGGCCCCTGTCTGACCATGAAGTGTGTGTGTGTGTGTGTGTGTGTGTTTCTCATTACAGTGTTATGCTAAGAGAGACTGATGATGCTTTGAATGAAAAATGTTTTAGGAAACAACTTCGATTATAGTAGCAGTGTTTCCAGATCTGTAAATCTCAAACACAAACAATCTCTCTCCTCATCGATGTGTTTTTTCTGTATTCATCTGCAGGTGTGGGTGAATATTGGCTTCAGTGTTTACATGCTCATTTACTGAGTGCTGAGTCATATAATGTTTTAATGAAATATGAATCAGAGCATATGCACTCATGTGCTTTCAGTCTCATTTTAATATAAATTATAAATGATTGAAAGCCTTTTTAAATATACAGTCAAATATACAGCTCGGTTTGAGCCAGATGTGAGTGTGTTTTGAGTGGAAGACAGCAGTGTCCTCTTGAAGAGCTGCATGTGTTTGCTTTTTTTGATTAACTCTTGCCAGATAAGACAGCCAATGTTGATTAATTTTCTGAAATCTAATCATCTTAGCCGTTCAATTTTGATTTTAATCTTTTTGTTAATAAGATCTCAAGCAAACACGCCTGCCCATATAGTCTCCGATTTAAAGTGGTCAAATCCCTGTCTTCATCTGTGTGGTGAAAGAGTCATTACTCAGGGCTGAATCTGCTCTGGATGTGTGTGTGTGTGTGTGTGTGTGTTGTTATTGTGCAGGGTTGTGAGGGTTTCCAGGTGGATGTTTGCGGTGTGTGTGCAGGGGATGGGAGCTCGTGTGAGCTGTTCAGTGGGACACTCGTTCTTTCCGTGCTGTCTGTTGGCTACCACAAGATCCTGGACATTCCCGCTGGAGCTCAACGAATCAAATTACAGGAAACACAGAAGACCAGGAACTACTTAGGTAATTGAGCTGAATTCCTGCTAGCTCTTCTTTTTTTTTATTTACTTCAGGATCATTATGATGGCACGTTCCTCAAATAGGGTACAATTTAGTGTCCCATTAAGCATTCAAGACATAAAATATACTCTGAGAACCAATTTTTTACACAAATTTTACTATTGACTGCATTTGTTGTTCGCAGCCGTTCAACACTGTTATGAGAGTATAGGATAAAATTGTCAAACAAATAATGTACACTACCATTCAGAAGTTTGGGGTCGCATTGATTTTGATTGTTTTTGAAAAAAAAAATCACCAATGCTCAAAAAACAAACAAACAAAAAACTGTAAACTGTAAAACTGTAAAAAAAAAAAGTAATATTGTGAAATATCATTACAATGTAAAATAACCGTTCCTATGCTTGTGATGTCAAAGCTGAATTTTCAGCATCATTACTCCAGTCTTCTGCGTCACATGATCCTTCAGAAATTATTCTGATATGCTGATTTGCTGCTCGAGAAACATTTCAATGTTGAAAACAGTTGGAACATTAAACCTTGATATACAGTATATTAAGCTGCATTTATGTAAAATAGATATTTTGTAACATTATAAATGTCACTCTTGATCAGTTAAATGAATCCTTGCTGAATAAAAATATTAATTTCTTAAAAAAAAAATGTATTTACCATGCACCCAAAATTCTAAGTGTACCAATCAACATTTGGTTCCAGTTCAGCTTAACTTAGACTAAATCTGCAATATTGTTACATGTTATTACACAATATTACAGGAAACACAGAAGACCAGGAACTACTTAGGTAATTGAGCTGAATTCCTGCTAGCTCTTCTTTTTTTTTATTTACTTCAGGATCATTATGATGGCACGTTCCTCAAATAGGGTACAATTTAGTGTCCCATTAAGCATTCAAGACATAAAATATACTCTGAGAACCAATTTTTTACACAAATTTTACTATTGACTGCATTTGTTGTTCGCAGCCGTTCAACACTGTTATGAGAGTATAGGATAAAATTGTCAAACAAATAATGTACACTACCATTCAGAAGTTTGGGGTCGCATTGATTTTGATTGTTTTTGAAAAAAAAAATCACCAATGCTCAAAAAACAAACAAACAAAAAACTGTAAACTGTAAAACTGTAAAAAAAAAAAGTAATATTGTGAAATATCATTACAATGTAAAATAACCGTTCCTATGCTTGTGATGTCAAAGCTGAATTTTCAGCATCATTACTCCAGTCTTCTGCGTCACATGATCCTTCAGAAATTATTCTGATATGCTGATTTGCTGCTCGAGAAACATTTCAATGTTGAAAACAGTTGGAACATTAAACCTTGATATACAGTATATTAAGCTGCATTTATGTAAAATAGATATTTTGTAACATTATAAATGTCACTCTTGATCAGTTAAATGAATCCTTGCTGAATAAAAATATTAATTTCTTTAAAAAAAATGTATTTACCATGCACCCAAAATTCTAAGTGTACCAATCAACATTTGGTTCCAGTTCAGCTTAACTTAGACTAAATCTGCAATATTGTTACATGTTATTACACAATAAAAAAAAAAAAAATCTGAATATGTTTGTTGGTAGAAAATAAAAACGAAATCACACAAATCAGTGTGATTTTACCCCTTTTTTTTCAAACTGAATATAAAATGTAATAGAAAAAACATCTCCTAAAATATTTCGTTTCATCCTGAAGGTTTAAGCAATAAGCACCTCCTTCCACTGTTCATTTATTAAAAAAAACAACAACTTTATTCTTCAGAGTGCCATATCTTAAGATATAGCTGGTTTTACTGTATATGGTTTCTAGCTGGTCCAAGCGGGCAGAGCACTTTGTACTAGCAGAATAACAGCTACCACATTCCAGACACCAGCTGGTGTGGCCTGGTGTTTCCAGTAGGGTTAATATGTGGTATGGAACCACCAGGTGTCCACCTTCCATCCATCATCTTTCCCCTCCTGTTTCTTCAAGCTCTCAGGACAGCGACTGGTGAGTCAGTGATAAACGGTGATTGGGTGATCGACAGGCCAGGACAGTTCTACGCCGCGGCTACTCAGCTCACATACAAACGGCCCAATGAGATACGCAGCAGAGCGGGAGAATCCATCACTGCTCCTGGCCCAACCAATCAAGAGCTGCATCTCTTTGTGAGAGACCACTCCTACTGTATGACATCACAAAACTGCCTTGACTAAAGATACAAATAGAATGTGGTTTAGTGTGGCTGCACTTATAGATGTACTGTGTTAATATATGAAGGTGTTTTTGTATTGATTTTTCATACACCTATTCTGAATTACACATTGCAATATGTTGTGTTTTAGGGTTAAACCCCTAAACTTAACGGATAATGTCAAGAACCTTTTTTTTACAGTGTGATGTATTGTGTTAGGAAGTATATATATTCTTATGATAACATTAGCTTCTGATGAAGTCCATATGAATAGTGTGTGGATTTTTAGTTTTAAACTTCATATTTTTCAGGTGATTTATCAGCAACCCAATCCAGCAGTGTATTATGAATACATTCTACCCAAAGACCCCATCACCGACAATCATTCAGATGCATATTCTTTCTCTAGTGTACTTCCTCTGGGTAAGTTTTTCTTTAAAGGGATAGTTCATCCAAAAATGACATAATTCTGACATAATTTCCTCACCCTCAAGTTGTTCCAAACAACTTTCTTTGTTTCAAGTTTCTTCTGCTAAACACAAAAGAAGGTATTGTGAATAATGCTGGTAACCAAACGTTTGCTTGTAGCCATTGACTTCCATAGTCTGTTATTGTACATCTATACATAGTACTTTCATACATAGTTTTATAGTAAAATACTATAAATGTCAATGTGGTCAAAAGTTTGGAATCAAGCCTGTGTTTAAAATATATATAATTTAATAGTAAAGACTATTAAATTAATCTTTTTCAAATAAATCCTGTTCATTTGAACTTATTTTCAACCATGAATTCTGGAAAAATGTATCCCTGTTCCCATAAAACTATTACAATTTCTAATTTTTAACATAATAATAATAAAAAAAAATGTTTCTTCAGCACCAAATCAGCATATTAGAATGATTTCTGAAGGATCATGTGACACTGAAGACTGGCGTAATGCTGCTGAAATTTTTTTAATATATTGAAATAGAAAATAGTTATTTTAAATTGCAATAATATTTCACAATATTACTGTTTTTACTGTATTTTTGCTCAACTAAATGCAGCCTTGGTGAACATAAGAGACATAAATATAAAAAAATATTACAGACTCTAAACTTTTGAATGATTATGTATTCTAAAAAGTATCAACAAAATTCCAAAAAGTAACCAGAAGAATGTAGATTAATATGACCATTTCTGTTCTGTTTAGCTAACGTTCACTTCACCTTCCAATGACATGTTAGGGAATGATTAACAGAATGTTTCTGTTTTTTATTAATTTTTTTAAAAAGTGATATTTTCGAGGTAATAGGGAAATGTACTGTATGTGCTGAAATGTTTTACCTTTTTTTCTTGCACGTATTGTAAAATCTTACGCAACCATCCCTCAATTTCTTTCTGTCTCTCCCTTTTCCTCTCTCTCTCTCATCCTCCAGCAGAGAGTCATGGAATATTTCCTGATCCTGAGAATAGCGACGGTGAAAACTCACTGAGCAGCTCTCATCCTAACCAAGTTCCATCGGACCCTATAACCCCTGAACCAGTTCCTCTGTACAGCTGGGTTGCCATGACAACAACACCCTGCAGTGCTACCTGTGGAACAGGTACTTCAGTTATTAGTGCTTACATTATGTATCAAAACCTTGCATTGCGTGTTCGTGGTTCTTTCTTCCGGTTTAATTCGGTCTGGGTAAACTAAGTGAGCTGTTAAAAGATCCCTAGAATATGTTCAAGACAGAAATAGAAAATAATTGTTAGTATTTCTGGCCCTGAGACATGTAAACACATTGCTGTGTCTGATGAATGGTGTTCTGTATTATAAGATAGTGACACACACACAACATTCATGCATTCCAGGCCATTGCAGAGGTTTCATAATGTCCTCACTGTTTAAAATCTAAATCAAAACCAGAGGAACCATACTTTTATGTCTGCAAATAAAAGCAAAACAGATTGGTATTCTCTTAGCAGCAGACACTGTACTTGTAAGACATCACAATGACAATGTTATGTCTTCCTGTCCGTCTCTGTTTAATCTGTTTGTCTGATGTGTGTGTGTGTGTGTGTGTGTGTGTGTGTGTGTATCAGGCAGTCATCAGGTTCTGTTCGGCTGTGTGGAAAGAGCTACTCAAACTACTGTACGAGGGGATCTCTGTAGCTACTCCAGTCATCCTGGCCCTCAGGTAGAAGAGTGTCAATCGCAGCCTTGCCCGACCTTGTGAGTGAACATACACAGGCTTTTACAGCAGACTCTAAAAGCATTTACTTCTAGCTCACTTTTTCACTTTAACTTCAGTACAGTTAAAGTATATTTGTGACCCTGCCTGTAAAAACCCAGCTAAAGTCATTTTATTGTGATTGACTGTTTTCTACATAAAATCATCTTTCATAAACATTCTGTGAAAATATAACCTTTATATCTTTAATATTGACTGAGTAAGCCCATGTCACAGATTGATATCATAGTGGAATTAATGGTTGAAATCAAACTTTAATGCTTGTTATCTCATAATTCGATTTTGAGACTTTAGCCTGGATTTCACAGACAGGGCCACATTTTCTAAGAATACTTTATGTACACTCAAAAATTATATAGGTCTATAAACTTAATGTGATGCATATTTGTCAGTCATGCATTAATGAAACATGTAAGAAACAGGTTAAATTTCTGTAATGATGCTAATAAATTGAATGTGTTTTAAAAACACAATAACCAGGTTTATGTATTTTTCATCAATAAACCCAGTTTCTTTCAATCTTAAAAATTTGATCTAACTGAATATTTCTTGTTATATTTTATAATATTTTAACTGAATAAATGTAATTGTTTTCACGATGAACAGATTTATGCTGATTTTAAGCAAGTTTAATAATGTAATTTAGAAAGTGTGATAATCGAAATAAAATCAAATAGATGCAAATAATAATAAACTTCTTTTTTTTTTTAAGTTCAGGAATCCTTGCCTGTTTCTTACCTGTTTCGTTTATTAGTTTATGTTAAAACTGTGTAATTCAAATATATGGAAATTTATAAGAAGTTCAAATACATATACATATTTTATACTATAAACATAATAATGTAGTAAGCACACTAATATTAATGTACTAGTAGTATACTTGTATATTTCTTGGAACTAAATTGAACCAGCATTTAGTTTATAAAAGTATACTTTTAAGTGTAATAGTAGTAAACTAGTTTGAGCAGCTACTGTATATTGTGAACTACAGTATACTACAAGTGAACTTAGGTGTACTGTTAGTTTACTAGTTATATACTCCTAACCAACTGTGTAGTTAATGTAAGCGCTGTCAATAAACTACTTGTTTAAAAGTTTATATACTGCAAGTGAACTTAACATCATAATGTAGTTTACTATTTTTTATTAAATTTAGGTTTAAGTTCCATCCATGTACTTTTTACTCTTGTTTTACTCTAGCTATTTCACCCCCCAAAACTGAATTGTTACTATAAATTTGAACATGTATTTTATAATATAGTATGCATGCTTGAGGACTCTTGTAAAAAAAGAAGTTCACTGCAGCATACTTTTAAAAATAGTACTTGTTATTTTTGAAATAAAGCACTTTAAAAGAATATACTGAAGTGTGAACGGAATGTAATGTTTTTAGACAATTAACTGGATGTTAATTGCAATTAAATGAAAATGTATTATTGTTTAAAATTATGTTAAATGCAATTAGTGCTTTTTTGACCAACTTAAGACTTAAGCACATCTTTTATATTTAATTATTACTTCTGTTAAACTGTACTGTCAGGCATTTATGATAAACTAAAATATTCTTGAATGTCATTTCTGTTGAAACTTGTATGTCATGTATTAAAATATATTTGTAATTTAATAGATGTAGTAGTGATTGAATACATATTGACTGTAAATGTAATATCAAATAACACACTACAGTTCAAATTATAATCAAGTACTTTACATGTGCTTTAGTATGTTAGCTTTAATGTAAAACTTGAATAACAGTTGAATGAACAAATCTTTTTTTGTAAGGGTCAATTTGAATAAAACACATAACAAGCAGACATACATGCCTGCGCATCTTAAAACATCTCAAAACTCTCCATATGGGCTGAGGAGGTATAAACGTCTAGAGTGGTTGCTTTCCAAATGGGGCAAATAAGAAGCACATGTGACTCAAACCAAGCAGTTGTACTTCAGTCAGTGTATGTGTGTGTTTGTGTGTGTGTGTGTGTAGCTGGGATGTTGGAGAGTGGTCTGAGTGCAGTAAGACCTGTGGTCCAGGGTTTCAGTATCGTCAGGTGATTTGCCAGCAGACGCAAGGACACCATGGCAATAGCACAGTCGTCGTGGCAACCAGCCTCTGCGATAACACAGACATGCCCGAGACGACCACCGTGTGCCAGCTCAAGATCTGCAGTGAGTGGCAGATCCGCTCAGACTGGACAGAGGTGTGTGAATGCGTCTGAGTGTAAGATGAGATTAATATTCATAATTATGACATCTTCTATCACCTGGAATAAACAGAAAGCATCTGTAACATACTGTATAAAACTTGCCTTGGCAACTAATTGATATAAAATATGTTTAAGTTGTAAGTACTAAAATTACTGAAATAAAAAAAAAACTGATAGATATGAAGGGTGCTTTCTGAATATATAGTTTCTAAGCATATGTACACTTTAAAACTTTACAAAAATAGATTTATTTCATTGCATTAGGTAAATTTAAATATGGCATAAGTAAAATATTTCTTGGGGTCACTGTATGGTCATATGACAAAAACTGTTCACAAAAATTCCTAGAAACAGATGGTGGCTCATCTTACCAGCAGCAATGCATTAAATTAAATGTCATTACATTTTTTTATTTAAAAATAAAATTCATTGATTCAAAAATTATAATTTAAATAAATACTGTTCCTTTGAACTTTGTTTATCAGAAAAAAAATATTGACAGAAAAAAAATCATAATTTTCACAAAAATTTTAAACGGCACAGCTATTTTCAACATTGATAATCAGAAATGTTTCTTGAGCAGCAATGATTTCTGAAGGATCACGTGACACTGAAGACTGGAGTAATGATGCTGAAAATTCAGCTTTGCCATCACATGAGTAAAATAACTTTTAAAATATATTAAATTATTTTATTAAAAATATGATATACATTTTATGAATGTATTAAACAAAACAGTTATTTAGATTGTACTATTTAGCATTATTAGTGTTTTTACTGTATTTCTTGCTGAAATGAATGCAGCCTTGGTGACAGGACTTTCCAAAACATCAGAAACTCTTACCGACTCTAAACTTTTGAAGGGTAGTAAATATGTGCATCAGATAAACAGCCATCAATATAAAGTGCTCAGAGAAAACACTGGTTCCAAAAAATCATAATTTTCACAAAAATTTTAAACGGCACAGCTATTTTCAACATTGATAATCAGAAATGTTTCTTGAGCAGCAATGATTTCTGAAGGATCACGTGACACTGAAGACTGGAGTAATGATGCTGAAAATTCAGCTTTGCCATCACATGAGTAAAATAACTTTTAAAATATATTAAATTATTTTATTAAAAATATGATATACATTTTATGAATGTATTAAACACAAAACAGTTATTTAGATTGTACTATTTAGCATTATTAGTGTTTTTACTGTATTTCTTGCTGAAATGAATGCAGCCTTGGTGACAGGACTTTCCAAAACATCAGAAACTCTTACCGACTCTAAACTTTTGAAGGGTAGTAAATGTGTGCATCAGATAAACAGCCATCAATATAAAGTGCTCAGAGAAAACACTGGTTCCAGTTAAACCTCTCTCTCTCTCTCTCTCTCTCTCTCTCAGTGCTCAGTGCCATGTGGAGTAGGTCAGCGCAGAAGAGAGGTTGTGTGTGTGGATAACCTGGGTGACATTGTTTCTGATGAGGAATGCAACATGGCCCTTCGCCCACAGGACCTGCAGAACTGTGACAAAGGCGTGTGTGCCAGCAGCTGGTTCTACTCTCTCTGGAGCGACAGGGTGAGAAATCTGTACTCTTATCTTTGCTATTTTGCAGTTGCACTTCTAAAATAGTTGTTTTTTGTCTCTCCGCAGTGTTCTGCAGACTGTGCGGAAGGAAGACGCAGCCGGTCAGTGGTGTGCATGATGAGTCAGACCAACTCACTGCCACTGGACAACTGCGATGATGAGGATAAACCTGACGAGCTCATGCCGTGTGACCTGGGACCCTGCACACAGCGACTGGAATGGTACACAGGACCATGGGGGCAGGTGCGTGAATGCTGAAAAGTCAAATACTGTATTTTTTTAACCCTTGGGCTGTGTTGAAAATACCTAATTTGGTGTTCCCGGTCAAAAATTACCAGCCTTTTTAAAATTGCTTGTAAATCTGGCATAGCGCTTTATACAATAAAAAAAAGTGAAGTGACATGTGGCCAAGTATGGTGACCCATACTCGGAATTAGTGCTCTGCATTTAACCCATCCTAAGTGCACACACACAGCAGTGAACACACACCCGGAGCAGTGGGCAGCCATTTATGCTGCAGCGCCCGGGGAGCAGATGGGGGTTCGGTGCCTTGCTCAAGGGCACCTCAGTCGTGGTATTGAAGGTGGAAGAGAGCACTGTACATTCACTCCCCCCACCTACAATCCCTGCCGGTACGAGACTCGATCCCACAACCTTTGGGTTAAGAGTCCGACTCTCTAACCATTTCTCTAACCATTAGGCCACGACTTCCCCCACTGGTTGTGTGGTAGCTTTACAGTGTCAAACTGGAAAGTAGTTTGTCAATAATGCAAGAAGACAATAACAGGATAATTTTTCCAGCTTAAGTCAGTTCATTAATGATTCAGTCATCATCCAGTTCAGCTCTCTTCCAATAGTGTCTGTGCAATCAGTCAAGCCAACTAAGCAAGTCAAAGGCGACAATGGCAAGGAACCAAAACTCCATCAGTGACAGAAATGGAGAAAATATCTCGGATTCAATCTTTTTGTCGACTTGTTTTCTTTCAATGAGCACAGTAAATCATAGTGTTTTTGGAACTTTGGACTGATCGTAGGCCTCAATGATCTGAGCTTATGCACATTTTACACCATGCACCAACTGACAATCGTGACCTAAACATGATTTTTATTTACAATAAAATAAAATTCGCCAGTCATGCGCACACTCAAGCTCCGAGAAACTTGACGTTCTTGGCTCGTTTTGAGTCAGACATGTGAATTCACTGAATTGTTAACCGGAGACTCACTGATGTCCGGATCATTTGAATCAGTGAGTTGTTGACTCGAGAACAGCTGCACAGCGAATGAATCATTCAGTGCGATTCGCGAACCCATTTAAAAGATTCACTGAAAAGAATCTGCTCATGTCTCCAGTTCAAAATAACAAGGACGACATGTTTTAAAGAAATATAGTGGAGTAAAAAGTACGATATAATGCTTTGGAATGTAGTGAAGTAAAAGTTTCTCAAAATAATAATACTCACATAAACTACAGGTACTCGAAAAATGTTCTAAAGTACAGTAACAACAGTGTTTGAATTGGGCTACTTTATCACTGTTGCCGAGGGTTGTTTTTCATGTCCGCGGGTTAAAGCGACCCCGATAACGTGATATTCAGCCCCTGGAGTGCGAATCTTACCAGGGGAACCCCACCAAAAAAGTGTATTTTACCCCCGGAACGCAATTTTTAACGGGGAGCCTGGGCTAGTTTGGAGTAGCAATTGGGCGGGTTTTGTTGTGAAAGCCTGGCAACCCTGAGTAACAGAGTAAAAGTACTTCATTATTGTCCACCACTGTGACAACACAAGTATAACAAGGTGGAGGAAAATCCCAAAAAAGCACAAAAATTAAATTTTTGGGAAGTTGTTATATCCTGTGTGAGCAAAGTCTGTACGTTTTAGCCCAATGCAAACATTAAGTAGCCTAGCATATTCGGGGAAAAAGAGAAATGTCAAAATGACCAGAATATATGCTAACAGCTCTACGCCTCACAGAGCATAGGCTGCACTGTAATAATGAGCGCAATCGTACAAACTGTCTTTACAATGAGAACAGGATTTTGGACGTGAGAGCAATTCACCATATCTTATTTCCATTTTGAAACAAGTAAAGGTCCAAGGCAAAAGTAAAGAAAGATTCTTAACAATACTTTGTTGAAACTGAGTTTTAACTTCTGATTTTGATTCTGTATTGCTCCATGTAGGATACATTTCTTACATACTAAACCCTCGACAGAATGTCCTAGTATCTACTCACAGAAATTAACAATGTCCAGGACATCTCTGTAGGCTGTTGACAGCAGAAGACAGATCTAACTATCATTCTTTTCCCATGGGAAGTCAACCGCATCGTTCCAGTTTGTGTCTATAACCTCTGTGCTGTTGACACGTTAGTCCCTCAAGGCTGTTTCCCACTCTGTAAGTGCATGAAGGATACAGCAGTGAAGACAGCAGCTGTCATAGGCACAAATTAGACCTCATGCCACAGAAAGGTAAGCCTAATTAGAGGAGTATCTCACTTTATGCAGCATCGTTTATTTGAATGGTGGCATATGGGATACAACTGACCTGGAATATCAGAATAGAGCACAACAGTCAGGTTTTGGAAGTAAAAATCCCGCTCATTTTCTCATTAGAGAAACTGTTGACAATTAACCTCTCAATATGAACCTACCATGAGCTTTGAGAGTAAAGAAGACATGGTGATTTCAACTTCATTCTTTAAAAAAGCATGTTCATATTGCCAAATTCCTAATGAAGAACTACACTATACCCATAATCATAAAGTTGCTGTTACCATAGAAACTTGCTAAAAGTGTTCAGCAACAACCTCACACCCCCATGAACTGCAAATGACAATCTAATTTAATCAACCTATTTGTTTGTACTCATACGGTTAAAAAGTTTGAGGTCAGTGTTTTTTTTTTTTTTAAAGAAACTAATTATTTTATTCAGCAAGGATGCATTAAACTGTTTAAAAGTGACAGTAAATAATGTTACAAAAATCTTCCATTTAATATGGAAAGTATTACAGTTTCCACAAAAATATTATGCAGCAAAACTGCTTTCAACAATTATAATTATAATAAATGTTTCTTGAGCACCAAATCAGCATATTAGGAGTAATGATGCTGAGAATTCAGTTTAGCCTTCACAGGAATAAATTACATTTTAAAATATATTAAAATAGAATACAGACAGTTATTTTAAATTGTAATAAAATTTCACAACATTACTATTTTTACTATATTTTTAATGATGCAGCCTTGGTGTTCTTAGGCTTTTACCATTGTGCTCCCATTACACCTGCACCAACATGACTCTCCTGAGAAAATGTATCATCTTACAACCAGGATACTGAATGTGAATCGAAGATGACAGGATCAGTTACAAACCCTTGAAAGTAGACTGTCCTCCATATAACATTTCTCTCTTTTCTGGCATGGTAATCTCCCTCCTTCAGCTTTTTTCTCTCTCTCCCTCCACTAATTCCATTCAGTGTTCACTTTGAATCTGGCTTGGTTAAAGGGAAACTGCAGTCTTCTTTTTCTCTGTTCTCCCTATTTCTAAGTGCTGGGCTGTGAAAGGAGAACATCTTGGCACATAAACACCCTCTGCAGAGAAAAGCACAGAAAAAATTAATTGATTCACTGGCTCGTTTTTTTTATGTGAGATGCCTGGGGAAAATAATACTAACCGACCAATGACAGAGGCCTTCTGGGAAGATCTTAACACTTTCAAGCCTACAAGATCTGCTAAGGTTTTGATAAGACTGTGTACTCTGTTTTAACAATTATTATGATTTTTAAAGGTCATTTTGATTAAATATTGTGCAAATAAATATTTCAATGTAATTTATTTAATTGTGTGCATATCACATTTTCTAATATTAAATTGTCCTATATCATTCAAATGCACATTTGTGAAATATCAACCATTAGTCACCCTGCTGTCTATCGACAGTAGAAAAGATTATTTAAAAAAAGCCTATTATAATGCATAAATAGCATGAACAATCAAAGCATCAGCAAAATATCTGATTGGTCAAGACTGTGAAGCACAATTCTGCCTTTCTAATGATGTAATTTTCTTATTGTCTCAGAGGTCTTTGCATGACAAATCACAAAATTAAGGTGAAAAGGAACATTTATAATAGATGAATATTTCATGTTTATCAAAGTGGTAAATATTTCATGAAATGCTTTATACATGAGGACAAAATTAGCTCAGGCTGAGAGCAATTGCACCTCATTTCAATAAGAACACACACTATTATTCCTCCTGAGGAGGGCGAGGAGGAGAGAGACAGAATGTGAGAGCAGGAAGAAGAAAGGAAGAAAAGAGTTGAAAGAGCAGTTGAGCTGTGGGAAAAGAGAAACTGAGAGCAAGTGTTCTTGAGAATGAGTGGAGAGGGCAGTCGCAGAGTGGTGGATGCAACAGGGCAAGTAAATGGAATAATGATGCTGTTTTCTCTTTGATATTAGCAAAAATTCAATTACAACTGAGATAAGAATTATTAAAGTGGCTTATTCATTTGATGATAGTCTTAAAGTTTAGATCTTAAACTATTAAGGGAAAAAAGCAGTCTGTTGATTTTTTTTTAGGGATGCACCGATATGAAAATTTTGGCCGATACCGATAATCGATTATTCTTTATTTTTGAAAGCCGATAACCGATATGTTGGCCGATAAATCTATATCCAAATTGTTATATACTTTTTGAGAGCCTGATTACAAAAAAGGTCTCATCATTAAAAGCCACATCCCAAACACTTCAACATAAGCAGCCTAGTTTGAACGGTGTACGTTTTAAAAATATTTTTACTCTCCCATTACCAAATTTAGTCATAAAAAAGTCTTACAAATAAATAAAATTATGCATAAATAATGCAAACAAGTCACTGGACATCATTACACGTGTAAAGAATCAAAATGAATGCGCCACAGATCAATAAAATGGAATAGCCTTTGCACGGACAATAATTAAATGATTTTAATTACTGAACCATATTGTTGATGAAAATAATAAGAGAAAAATACAAGTGGTTGTTGTTATTAATACTATATCAATGATTTTGACAAAGTAACAAATTAATACTAAACAGCAAAACAGCAGCCGTTGAGCTGCGCGTGCTGAAGCTGAAGAGCTGAATGAACACGGTAAACTGAAGCGTTTTCTTATTTAACAATACAACATAAACATATTACAACTTATATATGTACAAAATGACGCAGTTATTGCATGCTATAGTCAGAATGTGTGATCCTGTTGTGGATGCGCTCTTCCCATAACAACGTGCTGAAACACAGCAACTAAACCCAAAGAATGCACAGCGTTTTATTATAATAATGTTCTCATTAGAATGTTATATACACGACATTCCCAATCATAGTTATTAATGTTGTGCACTGCTGTTTGAGCTGCGTGTGCTGAGCTAAAGATGATCACCGGTAAACTGAAGCGCTCTTTTAACTTAACCAAACGCATTCTATATGAGATAAATCAGATATACATCAAATAAACACAATATTACAACGTACAATTGCACAAAAGGCTGCAAACGAACAGCACGCATCTGAAGTGTCTCTGAAGGAAATAATGCATTATTTATCGGCTTTAAGATATCGGCCAAATTTTCTTATCAGGGCGATACCGATAACAGAAAAAATGAGTATTTATCGGCCGATACCGATATGGTGGCCGATATATCGTGCATCCCTAGTTTATTATACTATATTTGCCAATATATTTGACTGAATAAATTAATACAATTTGTGTTTTTAATTGTTTTACTCACAAGAATTATCTGTCCTCAAAAAAGATACTTTGTGTATCAGTTTCCATCCATTTAACTTGTCATAATAATTGTGACATTTTTACTCGCTTAATGTATTGCATTGTACTTCAACATATGCAACGTTTCTCAGCTTTAAAAGTATACTGGATGATTTAACATTAAATTAGATTTTTTATTTTATTCTTTATATATTTATCATCTAATATTATATTTACACACATACTGGTAAAAAAAAGTATAGCCTGAATGCACTGTAAGTCGCTTTGGATAAAAGCGTCTGCTAAATGCATAAATAAAAAAATTAAATTATATTTCTATAATAGTCCATTTATGTAAATAAAATGAATAAATTATCCCAAGCCAAGTAATCTAAAAGAATTTATGCGAATAAATCTTTGAACATTTAGAAAATACAGTTTGTTAGGAAACAGAATTTAAGCACCTATTTTACAGTTGAATGAATACATAGAAATAAAGAAGGAACTTCAGGTATTGCACTATAGTCGGTTAATAATGACATTCACATGACATCCCTCCCTCCAGAGACTTTCATTCACACTCAGTCACTGCCTGGAGCAGAAGCTCATCAGGTACCTCTTCAGTGGCCCTTTCTACTTCCTGCAGAGCTTCCAGGTAAGCAGGGTCATCAGGCCACTCTCCCCAAACCTGAGCCTGAGGAGCCGAGGAGGACTCTGCTGAATCAGTCGTGGCTACGGAGCTCTGGGCAAGCTCAGTGTTCCCCAGTTCATCCGTTATATATGCCTGATCCTCTTCATACTTAAGTAAAGAAAGGCGCACAAGTCAGCACACAAATATGTACTCGACCTAATGTATGGTTATGTAAATTACAGATCCCGATGAGTTGAATCCTGACTGACCTCCATCAGCAGGTGGCTCATGCAGACCTCGAGGCAGTGGGAAAAACATAGAAAAGAGCAACTGTTTTGGTTTAGTTCTGTGCTCCTTGTTTAATTTGACCCAGTTTCCCTCCACTCATTTGTTTCCATAGTTACTCATTAGTTCTCAC